GTGATGGCATGTAAAGGTGAAGCAGTTCAGACAAATGAGAAGGGCTAAGACTGTTCAAAGACTTGAACACAAACAATAGAACTTTAAAATGAATTCAAAACTGGACAGGAAGCCAGCGAAGGGACAAAATAACTGGAGTGATGTGCTCACGCCTGCCTGTACCAGTCAAAAATCTTGCAGCAGCATTTTGTACCAGCTGTAACCGTGAGAGCGAAGCCTGGCTAACTCCGATCAAAAGAAAATTGCAATAATCCAGGTGTGAAGTAATAAAAGCGTGGATTACCGTCTGCCTAGAAAGGAGGGGCTTGATTTTTGACGCTCCTCAGCTGAAAGAAATCGGACTTAACCATGCTGTTGACATGGCAGACAAGTTTCAGGCAGGGGTCCATTTTCACTCTTAAATTTATCACAATGGTTTTTCATAAGGGGCCAAAGAGGAAAAATCAAAGGTGAGGAAACTGCTAGGACCACAGGATTTAAAGACCATAACCTCAGTCTTTTTTTCGTTAAAATGAAGGCAATTAAGTGCCATCCATCCTCTAATGTCATCAAGACAGTCCAGGAGAGACTGAGTGGAGCCATTATGTTTCAAAGGGAAATAGACTTGACAGTTATCTGCATATAAATTAAATTGTACACCATGCTTTCCGCAAATAGAACCCAGTGGCAGAAGATAAAGTGAGAACAGGAGAGGACCAAGGATAGAGACCTGGGGTACGCCCCAGAGGAGGGCAGCAGAAGCAGAGGTAAAATTGCGGTATCCATCATCACACTGAAACTTCTATCAGAAAGGTAGGACCTAAACCACTTGTCCCCCGCCTCTCGCACAGTGATGGCTGGACATGGGCACCAGTGACCCTCGTGACCCAAAAAGGAAGAAGCGGGTAAAAGATAATGGATGGGTTTTGAGCGTATTAATGTGGGAAAATGTCTTTTTTTTCTTCCCCAGAAGTTGCCGTAAAATAAATGTTTTGTGATTTAAAAAATATATATATATTTTTTTTTTTTTTTACCAGAATGTGGCGTTTTTTTGTTTGTTTTTTTAAGACAAAAGAGCCTTAAAGATTTTTTTTTTTTTTTTAAGTAATTTAAATTTGATATTTTTATTTCTGGCTGATATACTTTTACAAGACTGACTAGGTTTTGTGGGGGGAAAACATTAATAAATAGTCTAACAAAGTTAAGTCAGGTCCTCTGGACAATTTATTTTTGTTGAAACGGGACCCCCATGAATCAGGACATTAATAAATAGTATTTTTCAGGTGTTAAATAAGGTGTTTTATTTTTTTCCCCAAGGGAGATAAATGGGTCATAAAGCTTCAGGACATTTCAAGGGTTTAAATAAACAAAAGAAAAATATAATGTTTGTCTTTCTCTTTCAGGCACAAGTGCTGTCTTTGCACTCACTTCTTTGCACTTGCAACCTGTGCAGACCAGAACCAGAAGACCTGGTACGTCTGACTGTTGACTTTAACATTCATCTTAAAGTGCCTGTGAAATCAGTCTTTGGTGATACACATGAATGCATTTATGAAAAGACAACAACAATAACGTATTGCAACAAAAAAAAAACCTTTGATGCTTTTGCTATGATTTGTTGAGATATTCTTATGCACAGTAACAGGAAGTGAAGACAGAGGTGAACACCTGCATGTGATCAGAGCGCTACAATGGCTGACGACAGACAGCAAGAGAAGAAGCTGATGCTTCTTTAGATTATTTTGAGTCGCTATCAGAGACAAATGATAGTGTTTCACTACATTGAATGTGCCAAGTTAACAAGAATATGCCAGTTTTGATAAAATGGGTAAAATCAAGTGTGTTCTGTTTTTTTTAAATATTAATATTTTTCTTCCATTGTTTTATATGTAGGAAATCCATGTCGCAGGGACTTTAAGTAAAAATCCCGAGCAATGTGTAGCACTTATTGTTGTGAATGACTCGGCTATAATCATACAAGTTTTAGCACAGTGCTTGTAAAACTGACTGAGTCATAGGCATTTGAGTATTTGGTAAGATGGGCTTCCTGCCATGTCCAAGTTTAGGTCAATGTATGAGAAAATGACTTGAGTTGTAGCCTTTTTTTTTTTTAAGGTAATTTGGCTATGTCTGCTGTCTTGAATCAAGTCTGGTACATCGTTACTTGATGTTATTCAGTTGTAAATGTGCATCCAATGGATATTTTTCAGTTACATTAAAATGTGTCCAGTGGTTTATGAGATACCTGGGTAAAAACGACAAAAAACAAAAGCAGCTATTACTTCACCTTTTGCTGGTGAGCAATATTCAGTGTTTCCCCATGCTCTAGGTGGGGGGAGGGAGACAGTTCGTTAGGCAGGGGGCTCAGTTCTGTTGACAGGGTGGGGCGTCCTCCTTGGATAATGGCAGGGGAAACACTGAGCAGCTCTCATCGCCTGATCCAGCATTTATTTAAATACCGGTAAACAGAAGAACCTTAATAAGAAGTTTACACTCTGGTTTGAATGTGACTGCAGCCATAGCTCGTTTGTGTTCACAGGATGATCAGAAAAACGACGATTGGTGTTTCATCTGTAAAACCGAAGGAGAGCACGTTTTGGTAGAGTGCGATCACTGTCCGAGATCGTTCCACCAGAAATGCCATATGCCTCATATAGACGACGAAGTTAAAAGGTGAGTTCCTTCTGTGTTAAGGTACCGATGATGCTATACATATTCACTGAGGAGTTTATTTTTTATGCTATTTTCTACGTTCCTTGGACGCTCTCGTGCACCCTCACTACACTGTGTACACCTTCCTACAGCCATACGCACAGGATCACCCCATGCTCCAAGCACAACTCTCTTAGGCCTCGTATGGATGTAGCTACGCGTTAGAAAGTCATGTCAGTCAAGCATGACACAATCGCCATGAGTATATTAACTTTTCTAGGTCTGCACTTTTACATATATGATAGGTTTCTGGGCCTCCATCATTTTCAGCCTTGCTGTGGAGGAGGAGACATTGTTCAGCACCATGAGAGGATGCAGGTGAAGGAGTTTTCTGTGCAGAATCTCGACCTCGTCTATCCTTCTTTAATGATCTGTAGCCCTGACCAGACGATGATGCTTCTTGCTTTGTGTCCAAAAGACAAATGAAGGACAGCCGAACATGGTGTAGTATGTTTGGCGCAATAAGAAAGTGGATCTGTGTGTGGCAGATGTATGGTGGCTCAGTTCTATAAGTTGTAGTGCGAGTGGTGGCGGGATAGATTGGGCGTTTTATCCGTGTCACAAAGAAAGTTACAATCACGTATTTGTAGGGCTTCCAAGTTGGAATGACCAGTTCAAATGCCATGTCAAATTAAAATAGGTGAATTCAAAGAATTAATGAGTCACACCAGTTTTTGTTATTATTAATAATATACAACCATCGAAATATGGACGAATTATGGTATAGTCTACGTCCGTCCGTAAGTATCATACTTGTGGGGAAAAAAACATAAATAAGTTGCTTCACCCTGTAAGTTGCATCTATTATGCGTCATCGCTGACCACCCGGAAACGTAGACCGGTATTGTGCCAAAACTCAATTGGCTGCCAAATGGCGGCTGTGGGAGTGTGCACGGGAGGACTTTAGCAAGAATTTTAACAAGATTAACACGTAAAACAATTGTTTTTCTCAAAATTATTGTAAAGGTGTGTCTCAGTTGAACTTTTCCTTAATAAATGCACTTTAACGGCCAAATCAGCTGATTTGACGTTTGCTCCAGGAGTTCCTGAGCAAGACGAAGGTGACTTGGTATGGCAAGCCAAGTGTCTCATTAATAGCCACTTTTTCCTATTGATGAGACACTTGGCTTGCCATATTACTCAACCGCCATCTAGTGGCTGAAAATGGTAGTGTTCAATATTTTTCATGTCAGAATAATCTGATTGCTGCAAAAAATTGGTTATAAATATGGGGAAAAACATAAGTCACTTTGCTGTATACGTCACAGGGCATGCTAATTTATGCAAAAACTGCAACTTATACAACAACAATTACGGTATGTGAGTAATCTTTCTCTTGTCCCTGCCATAACTTCCACCCAAGATAATTTAATCAAGCTTTATACACATACAGTATGCATCATCACTAGACAAAGTGTAGCATGCACTTTTCATCACCCCAGCTCAAGGTCAAGGTCACAAATCAAGGTTAAAAGTTATACAAGGTCTTTGCTTCTCCGGTCCATAACTTCTCATCTGATTTAGATCATTTAACGAAGCTTGATACGACTTTGTACCACTGACACTTAGGTCCTGTCTGTCTCTATCCTGTTCAACCGATCTGTCATTTGATTGTTGATATATGTCGTCATATGTTTTGTGTGTGCAGTGATGTCAGACCTTGGATGTGCACGTTCTGTGTTTTTAATACCAACCAAGTGTGCCGGTACGCTGATGAGCAGAGAACTGAAGCTGTCTTGTCTCGCCAAATGTCTCAACACATGCTGGTTAGCATCAGTCTCTCTCTGTCCCAGTCTGCCCATGGAAGTGTCTGTGTCTCTGTCACTCATTGATCATTCATTGACAGGAATGCCAGTATCTCCTCTTGTATCTGTGCAGCACTGACGAGGAGCAAATATTTGTGTCGAACCCCACACTTCATGTAAGGCTCCTTTTTTAATATTCATGTCTTTCTACAACCACATTTTTCTCGTTTAATGGAAACTAAAAGCAGAGAAAACTGCTGCTACAGTCACATTATAAACAAGTTTTATTGTTAAATTATTGTAAATAAAACACATTTTGTGCTTGACACCAACAGATAAAAAACTACCCCAGGTTTATTACGACTCCGATGTGGCTGGGCAAAATCTCTGAGAAACTGCAGAAGAAACAGTACTTGACTGTTCGTGAGTTTGTGTCTGACGTTGAGCTAATTTTCACCAACTGTGCAACTTTCAACCAGGTAATAAAATACGTTATTTTCATATGTTAGTACAACTGAAGAACTGTGACCAATAACACCTATAAGACTGTGCATTTACTAACTTTTTGCTAACAGCCACAACAAAAAAGCAGTAGAGCAGACGTGGGCAACTTGAGGCCTGAGGGCCAAAAGTGTCCCTTGAACAATCTCCATCAGGCCCCCAATATAGAACTTTAAAAAATATGACTGATTTAAAAAAAAAACTGCAATTTATAATAATGATAATAATGATGTCATCACAATGTCAGCACTGTATGTTTCCATACAATGGCGAAATTAGTCTCTGCATTTAACCCATCCACCACCAGGTGGTGCAGTGGGCAGCTATTGAAAGCGCCCGGGGGACATTTTGGGGATTAGACGTGCTGCCCAGAGACGCCACGTGATGTGCAGTGACTGGGGATCGAACCTGGGACTCTCGGGTCCCAAGCCGGCTGCCCTGCCTCTACACCATGTCGGCCCTTATTGACGAAACAAAGGCAATTTAAATTAAACTTCTTACACAAAACTTAAAAAAACCAAAAACATTTTAAGTCGTTGTGTTTCCAGAACTGAACTGAACCTTAAACACTTAAAAACACAAATATATAAGTTTGTTTTGCATATTTCCACTAACATGTATAACATGTTAAGCTAAATTGTAAACTGTAATTGCCAGTCTATAGAGCACACATGAATCTAAGTCCACACGTTAAATAAAATAAAAAAACGTAAATGTATAAGCTGCACTTGTGTATAAGCCGTGGGTGTTCACGTTTTAACATGAGAGGCAGCACACAGCTACTGAGAGGGATGTGCTGCTCTTGTTGTAGATCAAGAATCAACCACCAGATGGCGCTTCATAGACTTTAGTTTACCGTATTTTACGGCAGATACGTCACACCGCCCTATAAGTCGCATCAGTCCATATTTGTCTAATAAAGTGGAAAAATCCACAAATATGTCGCTTTGCCGTATATATCGCATCTATTATGCGTCAACTCTGACACGTCGCGTTTGTTACGTGTCACCGCTGACAACCTGGAAAAGTGGTCCGAACTCGGAAATGTGGGCTGGTGTTGCACCAAAAATGGATTGGCTGCCAAATGGCAGCCGCGGGAGCGTGTACGGTAGGACTTTAACAAGAATTTAACTAGATTAACACTCAAAAACAATTATTTGTTTGCTGGAAATTATAGTAAATGTGTGTCTCAGTGTAACGTTTGCTTAATAAATGCACTTTAATGGTCAAAACAGCTGCATTTTGCTGGGGCGATGCAGCTGTTTTGACAGTTCCAAACAACGAGCAAAACCAAGGTGGGGGTACTGTAGCAGGCCGATTGTGTCATTAATAGCTGGTGAAGATTCTCAGTCGTCCAGGACATAGTAAATTCAAAACAGTTAAAGAAAAAAAAAACAAAGTATAATAAATAAAGTCCAGTTGTTTTTGTCTTGAACTTTTTTTTTGTCATTATAGCAACGTTTACCTATTACATGATACAACAGCATGCCATACTACTATTACTACTCTGCTCCCATCAAGTGGCTGAAATTGGTACTGCTAAAAAAATTCAGTCAGAATGAATGAAAACGATCATATCTCAGTCAAAAAGTGGTTTATAAATATGGGGAAACATCCATAAATATGTCGGTTTGGCTATAAGTTCTTCCATAGTTGCTCAATCACATTTCGTATTTAGTTACATGAAAAATACATATTGACAACCCCTCCAATAAAAAAAAAACAGTAAAACTAATAATAGTATTGTATATTGGTTATTGAAAAAAGTTTAGTCAGAATTAACCTGGTAAAGAGGATGGAGGGAGAGAGTACCTGTTCAGTACTTCAGCTTTATTCTGAATATTATTTCTGCACTCGTTGTTTCAGTAAATATAATAATAGTACGAGTTGTTTTGTTCTTTTGCAGAGCAACGCTGAGTTCCGTACCATGGGCGAACTTCTAAAACGGTTATTTGATCAAGAATTTAAGAAGGCCTTCAACATCCAGGATTAGACCGTTGACTTGTGGACTGAATCTCCTCAAAAGTAGGAATTTTATAAAAGGAAAATATAAATGTTATGATCGTAACATTTATCCAAATGAACTTTCAAACCTTTTTTTTACCTTAAATTAAAGTGTCAGGAGGAATCAGTCTGTAAAGGTGAGTTTTTCAATGTCAACTTGAAAATACTTAACTTTAACCTGAGTATTTTCCTTCTGTTTTATATGTTTTTTATTTGTTGTGTTTTTTTTTGTTGTTTTTTTCATTTAAAATGTGTGTAACCACAGTCAGTTTAATCACTGTTTTTATTAAACTTCTTTTTAAAGAAAGTATTGTTTTTATATGACAAAGTAGTAACAACATATTTTAAAGCATTTTAAAATGAATTTCTTGTAAGATTTGAACATTGTTTGAATGTATTTCCTGTTGTACGTTCTTCACACTTTGAATCATGTCTAAAATGAACTTTTGTAACTAACTTTCAGCGTCATTGGCAATAAAAAAATTAAAACACTACTGAACCTCTACTGCAACGTTGACCTCTAATGAGTATTACTCTGTTTCTATCTGTGAATGTTAATGCAGCACACAAATACTTTCGATTACTGATCTGCCACAGAACAGTCTGTGAATGTATCACAAGTAATTTGTATATTTTAAAACTACATTTTTTATTTGCAGTTTGTTCAACTATTTTAAAGTGGGGTTTTATAAAAAGGTTATGAGCCAAATAAATCTTTATATTAAGGAGTTTTTTTTATCAAGTCAGTTTGAAGAAATGGACTTTAGTTCTGACCAGATCAACAAGCTAACCGCTTTTCTGTGTGGAGTTTGATTGCTTCGGTCTTGAACCAAATCCAGTCTCAGAAATTTCATAGCTGTTCGTGTAAATAACATATTAAAGCCTTTACACCATTGTCAGCTTCAGATTATATGGTTGTACTGTAAACGGTGATATTATAGAAGAGGTAACGGTCTATAATTATTTGGGAATTTGGATTGATGGTGCGCTGTCCTTTTCCCATCATGTTAATGTTTTACAATCTAAGGTTAAAGTGAGACTTGGTTATATTTATAGAAATCGATCATCCTTTATATTGGCTGCAAAACGCACCATTGTTGAAAAAACATTCTTGGATTATGGAGACATAATTTACAGACATGCTTTGTAAACTGGACACAATTTTTCACTCTGCTATTCGCTTTGTTACAAATGCTCCTTATAGAACATCATCAGCTCTACTCTCTTGTTAAACGGACTTCTCTACATACTTGTCATGAAATTCATTGGTTTACCCTCATTCATAAGACGATGCTGGGTTATTCACCTCCATATATTCTACCGCAACAAGCACCGGTTTCAAAGTATAACATTCGATCCTCTCAGTATTTGTGGTTAAAGATCAAGTCTCGTTTTGGCTCTGTTGCTCCATCTGACTGGAATCTGATTTAAAAAAAAAACTTTGGGTCTGACCTCACCTGTCTCAGTTTCTAGTTATAAAAATAGTTTAAAAGCCATTTTTAAAGATACTTGCAAATGTTTTCATGCTTAGTAATGCTGTTGTTTAACTTTGACAATGCACTGTTAATATACCAAAGTCCATGCTCAATACTTCAGGTATAAAATCCAACAATGTTCAGTCAGGTCATCAGGACGGTTGCTTTTTTTTTGCTGAGACGTTTTGTCCTTCATCCAAAGGACTTCTTCGATCTGAGGAGACACCAACAAACAACTGATTCCTGAAAAAAATGAAAAATTATTTCAGAATAGTGATATTTAGGCAGGAAACGTTCAGCCTGCACCACAGCAGTTAGTGCTTGCAAGCACCCCATGATACACTGGACTCTTACCGCAGTACCTTCAGTTGTAGACTGAGACCACCGAGGTGCTCCACAGGACACCACAGGAAGTCCTTCCTCCCTGTGGCTATCAAATTTTAACTCCTCCCCCTTTCTACATATAGGACAATAAAATTAACCCTGCACCACAATAAACACTTTGGTAACTAATAAATTGTCCCTAGGTGTGAGTGAGAGAGTGAATGGTTGTTTGTCTCTATGTGTCCCTGTAATGGACTGGAGACCCGTCCAGGGTATACCCCGCCCTTCACATAGTGATTGCTGGACATGGGCACCAGCGACCCCCGTGACCCAAAATGGAAAAAATGGGTAAAGATAATGGATAGATGGATGTTTCTGTCTACACCTGTTTGTTTGGAACTTAATTGTTGGTATTTTTATATTCTGTTATTTTTTATATTGTGTGATTCCTTGTGTATGTTCCTTTGTATTAAAACTCTGGCACAGCAATTTCCTGCAGGATCAATAAAATTCTATCTTTCCATATTTTAAATTAAGTATCCATATAACTGTAATGTCAGACTGAAAGCGGTGTAAATTTTTTTTAGTGGTGGTGTGATAGGACTCCTTCAGCCTGACAGCATCCCTCACCGCCAGTGTCCACCACTGGGTTGAAGGGTTACCGCTGCGACAGGCACCGACAACTTTGTGGCCACAGCTCCGATAAGGCGCCTCAACAATAGAGGCGCGGAACTTGGCCCACTCGGACTCAATGTCCCCTTCCTCCCCCGGAACATGTTCGAAGCTCTCCCGGAGGTGGGAGTTAAAGCTCCATCTCATGGGAGACTGCCAGATGTTCCCAGCAGACAATACATTTGGGTCTGCCAGGTCTGACTGGCATCCTCCCCCACCGTCTGAGCCAACTCACCACCAGGTAGTGGTCAGTGGACAGCTCTGCCCCTCTCTTCACCCGAGTGTCCAAGACATGTGGCCGCAGATCAGATGAGACGATGACAAAGTTGATCATTGAACTGCGGCCTAGAGTGTCCTGGTGCCAAGAGCACATATGGACACCCTTATGCTTGAACATGGTGTTCGTTATGGACAGTCCATGACGAGCACAGAAGTCCAATAACAACACCACTCAGGTTCAGATTAGGGGGGCCGTTCCTCCCAACCACACCCCTCCAGGTCTCACTGTCATTGCCCACGTGAGCATTGAAGTCCCCCAGTAGAACAAGGGAGTCCCCAGGAAGCGCACTCTCCAGTACCCCCTCCAAAGACTCCAAAAAGGGTGGGTAATCTGAGCTGCTGTTTGCCGCATAAGCACAAACAACAGTCAGAACCCATCCCCCCCACATGTAGGCGGAGGGAGGCTATCCTCTTGTTCACCGGGGTGAACCCAAACGTACATGCACCAAGATGGGGGGCAATAAGTATGCCCACTCCTGCTCAGCGCCTCTCACCAGGGGCAACTCCAGAGTGGAAGAGTGTCCAACCCCTCTCAAGGAAACTGGTTCCAGAGCCAGAGCCATGCTTTGAGGTGAGTCCGACTATTTCTAGACAGAACCTCTCAACCTCACACACCAGCTCAGGCTCCTTCCCCACCAGAGAGGTGACATTCCACGTCCCAATAGCCAGCTTCTGTAGCCAAGGATCAGATTGCCAGGGTCCCCGCCTTCGGCCACCACCCATCCCACATTGCACCCGGCCCCTTTGGTCCCTCCCACAGGTGGTGAGCCCATGGGAAGGGGGACCCATGTCTCCTCTTTGGGCTGTGCCCGGCCGGGCTCCATGGGTAAAATCCCGGCCACCAGGCGCTCGCCAGCGTGCCCCACCTCCAGACCCGGCTCCAGCGTGAGGCCCCAGTGACCCACGTCTGGACGAGAGAACATTGTTTCCACTGATTGTACTCATCATAAGGGGTCTTTGGGCTGCACTTTGTCTGGTCCCTCACCTAGGACCTGTCTGCCTTGGGTGACCCTACTAGGAGTATGAAACCCCTGACAGCATAGCTCCTAGGATTATTGGGACACTCAAACCCCTTCACCACGGTAAGGTGGCAGCATTTGCACACTAAATAAAATGTCTGGAGCCGCAAAACCTGCAAAAACTGATTATCAACTTGTGGCCCATGGCCAACTTCAAACTTGTTGGAAGGGGCCATGGGCCATACCAAGGAGCTATCTGCAGACAAATTCGGAAGGCATATCTGGAAGGCCACATCTGATTGGACGATAAAACAATGGTCATATCTGAAGGGTCACACATGATTGGACGATAGAAAAATGGGCGTATCCGGGAGGCCACGTCTGATTGGACAATAATAAAATGGGCGTGTCTGGAAGGCCACATTTGATTGGACGATAGTAAAATGGGCACGTCTGGAGGGCCACATCTGATTATTCAAAAAAGGCTGGGGAAAAAAAGCTGTTGGTGTTAACCACAGACATATTATGTCTAAAAAACAAGGTGTTATTGGCAGATTGTGTTAACCACTGACATTAACTGGTTCAACATTATCGGCGCCTCAGGTTCAACACTGGCAGCGTCTCGGTTTGACATTAGCGGCGTCTTTTCTTTCCGCCTCTCTTAACACAACTTCCGGTTACATTTCAAAATAAGAGCAACATAAATGGGTAGTGTGGACGGCTAAATGTTTTTTTTTTTATACATTAAAAAACAAAATTTGTTTTGGTTGTTGAATAATGTGAAAATAGTTACAATTGATTCATAAAGAAAGAAAAATAAAGTAACCAAAATAATAATGGTGCTTAAACTGGCTTTGGGACAAAGGATGTTTCCTTTAACTTCACATTTTCTTGTTCAACGTTTAAATCAGTCACTGCAGATGAGTGATTTGTCAGTTTCTGTCAGATTTCTGCAACTGGAGCAGGTATTTCTGTTTACTGGTGAACTTCCTGAGCTGTCTCACATTTTAAGGGTCAGTTCATGTTTCAGCTCCTTTCATAGATCAGTTCTCATAGAAGAACTTCTAAAGAGAACATTTTGTTTTTAGCTTTTTGTTTTGGGCCATTATCTCATTACAGGACTCATGATCTTTAATTGAGACCAGACTTTTTGACAAATGGGAGCAGGTTTCGTTTCAGATGTTTCATATTTCATTGTACCCAGACTCAAGCCAACCTGTGTCAGGTGCAGCTACAACCCAAGGACTAAAGAGAATATTCGTGTGTTTTACAGCAGATAT